GCAAAAATGTGAAAAACGCGAATTCATAGTTTCTCATTTTTCAAGGAACTGATAAGAGATAACGAGATGGTGTCTATGACAAAGTTGTAGCTCTGGTCAAGTACTACAACTTCACTACAGACACCAAGTCGTTATCTTTTATCAGTTACGCGAAAAAATAATAAGAAAAAAATCGCGTTTTTGACGGTTTTCTGCGGTTTCTCGGGTATTCCGCAAAACTGACAAGAGATAGTGAGATAATGTTTATGGCAAAGTTGTAGTTCTGGTCAAGTACTACAACTTCGTTACAGACACCAAGTCATTATCTTTTACCAGTTTCGCGGAATACGCGAGAAACCGCAGAAAACCGTGAAAGACGCGAATGTTTTCTTATCATTTTTTCGCGTAACTGATACGAGATAACGACTTGGGATCTGTGGCAAATCATAGTACTCGACCAGAGCTACAACTTTGCCATAGACACCATCTCGTTATCTATTATCAGTTCCGTGAAAAATGATAAGAAAAAACGCGTTTTTTCACGGTTTTCAGCGGTTTCTCGCGTATTCCGCGAAACTCATAAGAGATAACAAGATGGTTTTCGGCGAAGTTGTAGAGCAGCTTAAGTACTACAACTTCGCCATAGACATCAAGTCGTTATCTCTTATCAGTTACGCGAAAAAACGCGAAAAACGCGAGTTTTTGATAATCATTTTTCGCGAAACTGATAAGAGATAACGACTTGGTGTCTGTGGCAAAGTTGTAGTATTTGACCTGCTCCACATTTCTGCCGAAGAAGCAAGTCTCTTACTTCTTATCAGCTTCACTAAAAATAAGGTGGGAAAATTTCGCGATTTTCGCGGTTTTTCGCGTTTTTTCGCGTTTTTTCGCGGAACTGATTAGGGATAAGCAATATTTGTTGCAGCAAAATTATAGCAAACCTCGAGTATTACAACTCAGACACTATTTTGTTATCTCTTATCACAGTCTAGATTTCAAATGAAGTACATATGGGGCCCTGGGGTCCCCAAAGAACAGGAATATGTGAAATGTCAGAAGAACCGTCATAGTGTTAACAACTACTCATACACTAATCTTATCGTAATTTATTAATTACCATTCATCCATTTTATTTAATAAGAAAATATATTTGGCTTTTTGGCGATCACATTATGTCTGTCGTAGGTTTGATACTCTATAGACTGAACCAAAAAAAAGTTGCCCCTCATCCGAAAAGTCCGGCCAGTTTCGAAAAATATACCTCGAAAAATAGGTTTGGCGCAAGGAACGCTTATGGGTACGTAACTTTTGTTCAGGAGGTACCTCAAAAAGCCAATTTTGAGAGTTTTTGTCTGAAAAGACTCCCAATATTTTTGCCAAAAAATAGCTTTTTACCAAGACATCAACACTACAAAGTGTATATTTGAGAAATTTTCTGAACAAAAGTCGATTATTTTAGAGTTGCAATCGCATATGAGGCTAGAAATAGGTGAAAACATGTCTCGAATTGGTCATGTAGGCACCCAAAATGTTCTTAAAGGATCATACTAGTACCATAAGTTCAAAGACAGCTTGGGTGGAAGTCGTTTGCTTTTATCTGTCATATCGAAGCCCATAGTCGTGATTTGATCATTTTTGTCCGAAATTTTTCTCTTATGTGTGAATCAATTGGCACCAAATTTCATCCAAATCGCAATCTGGCAAGTACTAGAATTTTTATACGGGTTCTGGATATATGACACAAGTCGAAAACTGAACAAAAGTCCGCCACCTGGATGACCCGTAGAGCAACAAATGTAAAAAATGCCGAGGAATTGGCATTTTTTGGTCGTTTTACACTGTAACTGGCCCAGAACGCTGTTTCAAGGGCTGACGTCTTGGTAAAAGTTATAGATATTGATAAGCCAAACAAAACCTCATCATCAGTTTTTGTTGAAAATTGGCTGGAATAGTAGAATCGGCCAAAATGTTGCGATCTAAATGGCTTCCGAAAACATTGTCATGAAAATTTTGATATGGGGCATGCCATGGGTTTTTATATGGTTCTTTGCGCCAAACCTATTTTTTCGAGGTATATTTTTCGCAACTGGCTGGACTTTTCGGATGAGGGAAAACTTTTTTTTTGGATCAGTCTAATGCTCTAGTACAGTTGCAAGTGTTAAAAATGTTTTCTCATGGGAAAAGATCGCTTCTTACATAGCTTTTTAATGCGGCCTTTTTTCACTTAGGTGTGTTACGCTGGTTTAATGCTGGGCTGCGACCGGTATTTAGAACTCAATTGAAGCTTGTAAATGGTACACTGTTTAAAATTTACGCTTCGACGATTCCACACCAAGTGTGACAAAATTCAGATTTCATTTCTCCGATTTCGCTCAAACTTGGTGTATAAACTTGATATGGCCACAAACTCACAAACTCAAAAAATTTGGGTAACTTTCCCCACTTTATGTAAAATTAGAATGAACCAAATTTGGCAAAAAAATGACTATAGCACTTTTTTACATTTTTACACTATGAAAATTGTAGTACAAACTGCCGTGAAAAGTGGGTTCAAAGTATAACAAGGTCACGTCGCTCCGCTCTTATTTTGTACCGTAGATCTACTGTCGTATTTGTTTTATTTAAGTTTGTTGTTGCACAAGGAAAGGCACTACATGAAATGTAGAACCGTTATCGTTTTTTTGTGATGTAAGTAATAGTTGAGCTAGCATGCTCCGCTTCCTATATACCTGTATATTAAATAAGCTTCGTGGTGTCATTTTTCGTTGTAAGTGATGTACCGGTATATTTCATGCGCGTGACATGCAGAAACTTGCACGCAGCGCCCGAGTACTGTATAGTGGGAAAAAAGTAAAGCTTGCTTGTCACCAATATTGGTGTTCACGAACATCAAATTGTGTATGCGTTATTTCGCCCACTTCATGCACTAAAAATAATAAATTCCTTGATTGGTATCAAATTTCACATATGAATTCATCATCACATCAGGGAAACACAACTTTTTTTTAAATAAAAAGCTAAAGCAAGATGATTTTTTCGTTGATGGTTGTTCGATCCTGGATCTCCCGTGATTCAGTATTGATTTGCAACACATCTATTTTTTTGTTGATAGTCTAACTGAATACGATGTTTTGTTGATTGAATAATTATATTTTGATGACAATTTTTTTTGAGATGGCAATTGTGCGTGCTTTGATGATAAACAACACGATAGCACAAACATTAATGTCTAGGAATATCAAATTCGAATTGACATTATTGTCAAAGCGAATTCATCGGGAAACACTGACTTGAAGTTCGACACAAATGTCAAATTAATTCGCCGATGTGAAGCAACAAAACAAAATATATTTTCATTTAAGTAAACAAACATTTTGTGTTGATCTAACCTGCAAGTTTTATATTTTTTCAGAATAAAAATGGTAAATAATTTCGTATTATTTTGTTTCATTCTAAATAAAATCTCTACTGTGTTTTTTAAGTATAAATTTAGAAAAGAAATGTTCGAAAATCAGCTTTGAATGTAATGTAATTTGTTAAAGGCGACAAACAAAATCCAGGAGTGGTCATTTTCAGGAAACGTGCGATGGGCAAAGAATGCACAAGTTAATCTAACCATCATTATAATGAATCACAAGAGATCCAGGATCGAACAACCATCAACGAAAAAATCATCTTGCTTTAGCTTTTTATTTTAAAAATAAGTTGTGTTTCCCTGATGTGATGAATTCATATGTGAAATTTGATACCAATCAAGGAATTTAATATTTTTAGTGCATAAAGTGGGCGGAATAACGCATAAACAATTTGATGTTCGTGAACATCAATATTGGTGACAAGCAAGCTTTACTTTTTTTCCACCACGCAGTACCCGGGCGCTGCGTGTACGAAACTTCGTTTGTACGGTACGTGTCGCGCGCATGGTGTATTTTAAGCCAAATATACGAAATTTCGTATATTGAATATTGAAAAACGATAGTTATGCATATATATGTATATGCTTCGCGCTTCGACGTCTAGTATTCTTTTGTGCATTTAGCGCGATCACTTTCAAGCGCCTTGGCGCGCTCGTGCGTCTCGATTTGGGGACAAATTTGCTTGTCACACAAAATATCCCGAAATCGATTTTTCATCTGAATAGCTAGTAATCTGGAGCTATTTTTAGCACTACATGAAATGTAGAGCTACTAATCTGCTTTTTTTTTCTCGGTCAAGTTTGACTACTCAAACAAATGTTGGTGAATTTGAATTATATGCTCATATTCTTTATTTGATTTAAAACCGGTGCACTAATGAAGATTTAATATATAACACTTCATATATACATAAAAGATTGACATACAATTTTTTTATTTTTCCAAACTATATTTTATCATACATTTTATTTGTTTCTTATATATTACTTCAAAGTTACTTTGATGAAATACATTTCATGTAGTGCGCCAAAAAATAGTTTTTTGTGAAACAACAAAATAGATTAAGTAACTAAAAACTCAAGAACGCAGAGCGGAGCTCTGCGGTCTTGTTTACTTCTAAGAGGCTTTTCATGCTAAGATCAAAATTAAAAATATTTCAAAATTAAAATTTATAATTGTGACAAATATCCCAAACATTTATATTTCAAAATAGGTGTTTCCAAAAGTTAAATTTGATGCATTTGGCAAATGTCACAATCATAGAACATTTAGAACATTTTCGGCCGAAAATTCCCGGGATCAAAATCGTGGTTTTTACATGCCAATGCATTTTTCTCATACCAGAAATGGTTTGAGGACAACGATACATATGTTCAGAATACTCTAAAAAATATTTCGCAATTAGTGCTATCTCCCTAGCCCAGTATTAAATTAACTGATGATATTGTTCACCAGCACTAATTGAGCACTAAATAATGGTACCGGTCGCAGCCCAGTACTAAATCCGTATCAGCATACTTCACCTGTTTCACTTCTGTACTAATAGCGACGCGGACGTAATGGGACATTTGTTGTCACTGGTGTTCATGTAATCTTCTTTTACAGCTAAAATTACATTTCCATGACCCCGAAACAAGATCAATTGACACAAAGGTGAACTGCATATATCTCACTCAATGGAATGATTAATATAATAGCTAACTTAACTACAAATTTGTTTCTTGTTATATTATTTTTTATAGGAGATCGAGTGTCAGGTATTACAAAGCTTGCTGTTCTGTATGCATGCATTTCTAACAGGTAAACTTTTCATTTTGCTACATTGGGATATTTGCTTAATCAATATGGCAATATACACTTTATGACTGATTTAAGAAGAAATCAAAACTGCATTTTCAGGATTCTTTTTCCTTTTTAAAGTATCATTATCACAATTTCGTTTCATTTTCTTTATTTTTTAATAGCAAAAGTGGCTTCGGTAGACCCAACGTTTCTAAGTTCAATTCAGCAAAATTAAGTTGCAGACCCAGTTTTGAAATTGCACAAACCTAATCAACATAACAGCTTAAACTTAGAATTAGAAATTGAAAATTATTCAATTATGAGTATTTGTTCAAATAAATGATGTTTAGCTAAATCAATGGAATCATTTGTTTTGATTGATGACATGAATATTGAAAATATCACGTTCTAAAGGTTGGACCCAATAATAACAATCTGTTTTGTGGACATTTACTGGAATAGTCATGAAATCTCTGGGCAAAGACTTGAGGAAAATTAATATTTACAATCTTTACATTTCAAGTTCAAAAATCGATTTGGGGGTTCAACTTCCCCGAAGTTTAAGAATACTCAAGTTCTCTGGAGACCATATTGAATTAATCGTTCATCAGGTGAAAAACCACATTTGAATACCCAATTCGTTGTTGTTTTGGTCATAAACCAATATTAATGCATCTGAACGTATGAAATTCAACTTTTGTTGGGGGCAACAACGCATTTCCCAGAGCTTTGGTAGTTGGGAACAATTATTTTTCAATTATTATTATTATTGTTCTGCACCATACAGCGTTTCTTCGCCAGAGGTGGTTTATTTAGCATAAATATAATTATCTTTTTATATCTACAATATTTACAATGGGATAATTCATTCTAATTGACTTCATTCTCTCCAAATTCTGTTTCTCTTAAAATATTCAGCTACTCTATGTTTGATAGTATTTGTACTTGTGTTAAAATCAATTAAATAAGTATCACAATTCGAAATAGTAGTAACATTACATTCATCTGGTAAATTAGGCGGTTTGATAGGAACAAAGTATTTATAAAATTCATTGTACGTACTCAACATATAATTGATAGGTTCAAATTTGGAATAGCTATTGTGATGAATGAGCTCGGTAATGATAGGAAATCTGAGTTTCTTTTCCAATGGTGTTAATAATAATAGTGTATTTCGATGAAGTATTTCCACATATCACATTGTGGACAAGTGATATTTGTGCTATCTTTCTCCGCTCTTCCAGCGTAATCATTCGTAATTCAAGCAGTCGGCATTCGTACGGAGGTTTCCTGAATCTTTGTGGCCATTTTATTTTGCGTAGTGCGAACAATAAAAATTGCTTCTGGATCGATTCAACTCGTGCAATCTTTTCAGCGGTGTATGGATTACAAATTTGGGAAGCATATTCCACAATCGGCAATACAAATGTAGAAAACAATTTATGGTCCATGGATCATCAAATTCATATCCAAATCGTTTAATCCATGCTAAACGTGATTTCGCTTTGGCTGTAATATACTAATGAAATGATAAGGATCCACAATTGCTTGAACACTCCTTTTATGTTCACACTACACTCAGAAATGCAAATAGCCGCGCAAACTTGATCTCGTCGGTACGCAGCGAACACAGCCAAAAATTTAATATAAAATATTGACGAATTATTATCTTACATCCCTACAAAATGTATAGGAATAATGATGTTTATCTGTTATTTTTAACAAAACATTTAATAGAAATGATTTTTTTACAATTATTTCGTATGAACTAATTGTTTTTCATAAGGTGATTGGTTGTGGGTAAATTCGTATTATTTCAATCCGCAGTCGCCTCAAAATCTTTTCTTTAAAATAAAGAAATGATTTAACTCGTTCGCTTGCCTAGTCATTTAGAGTGTTGTTTCAAATCGATTCTCATCGATTTACAAAATGGTTGAAAGCCGTTCTCAATACTGTTTCATTGGAGTATTGAAATAATACGAATTTACCCACAACCATTCACCTTATGAAAAACAATTAGTTCATACGAAATAGTTGTAAAAATCATAAAAATTGCTGTCCGGCAAAATGACAGCGTTTACTACGGTTCACAGCATCTTCGAAAAATGCGTGAGTTGTAGTAAAAAATCCCCCGAATGAAACCAGTGACAAAAAATCACTTCATTCACCAAAACAAAAACAGATGCTAGCGCTCTGTTCAACTCGAAAAATGACGTGGCAAGTGAATGGGCGGCGGTAGCTTAGCGGTTAGAGCAGTGGACCGGCAATCCAAAGACCTGTGGTTCGAATCCGCAGTCGCCTCAAAATCTTTTTCTTTAAAATAAAGAAATGATTTAACTCGTTCGCTTGCCTAGTCATTTAGAGTGTTGTTTCAAATCAATTTCTCATTGATTTACAAAATGGTTGAAAGCCGCCCTCAATACTGTTTCATTGGAGTATTGAAATAATACGAATTTACCCACAACCATTCACCTTATGAAAAACAATTAGTTCATACGAAATAGTTGTAAAAATCCTTTTAATTTTTTCCAGAAAAGACCAGGTATACCATCGGGACCCCCATTCTTATTTTCATCAAGTCTTGATAGTATATTCGCAACACATTCTTTGGATATGGTTGGTTTTTCGATAATTGGTCTTACGTCAGTGAATGTGTTGATACTAGAACGGTGCGGAGGAAAAGTCGTGAATGTCGACTGAAAATAAGTTGAGAAAGTCTCACTGATATCCCTAGGTGAATTTGCTGAAATATTTTGATACTGAATAACCGAGGGATAACTATTGGTCTTTCTTTTACTTTTTGAATAAGACCAGAAAAGTTTAATGTTTTTTTGTATGTTTGCTTGGAAATAATCTATGTAATGTTTGTGGCAGTCAACAAATTTTGGCTTGCATTTAGCTCTTAAATCAGAATATGCAGCATAGTTCTCTCGAGTTTGGTGTCTCTTCCATTTTTGTCTTTGTTTTTCTTTTTGTTTTAATGAGCTAATAAGATCTGAGCTAAACCAAAAGGGATGGCTTTTTTTTTTCTTGTATGGTGGAACGAAATTGCATATTATATCGTTAATCGAGTCGTAGAATTGCGACAGTGCATGGTTTGTCGGAACAGAACTTATAAAATCCCAATTGACAGCTGCAATCGTTTCACTCAACACTTCAAAGTTTGCTTTTCGATAATTAAATTTTCTATGCTCAATTTCATCCAGATATTTCACTGTTAAATTAACTGTTATTGTTGTTGGTGGGTGATATGCATCAATGGGCACGAGACTAGAATTAGAACGAACAACTGAAACAGTGTCTATTTCTTCGGTTGACAAAACGAGGTCTAACACTTTTACATCACAATTTCTTACTGAGCTGTGTTGACGCAAGCCACAAATATTCAATGTATTACAAAGTTTAACTGCCTCTACACCGTAAGTAACATTACACGCATTAAGGTTCCCATCAGGCCCCGAAACCCAGTCGATATTTATCATATTAAAATCTCCCAGAATTATTACTTTGTCATTGCAATTGAACTTCAACATAACATTCTCTAGGTGATTTAAATATTCAATTGTCAATGCTGTATTATCTGATTTTGATGTAATATATACTAGTGAAACATACAAGTATCCCTCTGGCAATTGGAGTTGCAACCACAAATCTTCAACAAAATTAATGTTAGACTCCAAATCTGTCATTCGAACGGCTAAAATTTCCTTTTTTACTAGCATTAAACATCCCCCACCTCTTGATGTGTGAGTAGATGCGTACGGTCTATCTTTTCTAAACACTTTATACCGACCGTCTGTCAATTCTGAATCAAAAAAGTTGCTATTTAACCATGTTTCTGTTGCTGCAACGACATCAGCACTTACATTCAACACATTGGTCTGAAATACGTTCGATCTTGTGCGTAATCCCCTTAGGTTTTGGTAATCAAAAGTGAGATCCATTGTTCGATGTATTTTAATTAAAAAGTTTTATATTAGAAAAAGTAATTGGAATGCGAAAATTAAAATTTTAATTATATGTGTAAAAAAAAGTATAATGATTATAAAATTGCGTATTTGAGTAATTCTGATTATGTTTGATACTTAAAACGATATTCTGTGTATCCTTTTCTGTGCGTGTTTTGATCTTTATTTCTTGGCTTTGGGTCGTGTTTCACTTTCATCATCGGCCGGTGAATTCCGTCGTTTGCTCGCCTCTGACCTTCCATCATTGGTATGTTCAGTGATGAGTTTGTTCAAATCAGCAATGTCACGGTACCCAAACAATTTTCCGTCCTCGCTAAACTTCAATTGACAACCAAATGTGTTGATCCAGCATGAATGTATTAGCCCATCTTTGGCTGCCTTTCTCCCTTCTGACAGCAGTTTGCCGAAATACGGCGTGGTGTGATTGTTGACAAAAATCGGAGCATTTGCATTCGCTGCATTGGAAACAACATCGCCAAGTGAAATTTTTGTCTTCGATTTTCTCGACAGTATTTGTTGTTTCAGCTCAAAGTCACTTAGCTTCACCACTATAATGTGATTGCTGTTGCCTTTGATGCGATAACAGGCCGCAATTTTATTCGCTGATACTTTGCACCCAATCTTAGTCAGTACCTTCAACACGGTTTCAATGAGTTTTTCTTCGGTTGTTTTTGGAATTCCAAAAATGCTGACATTGTTTTTCAGTAGCCGTTGCTTGTCAAGTTCCAGTTGGTAATGAGTTGCAGCGGTAGCTCTTTCCACGTCGTCGAGTCGTTTGGCCAATGTTGAAATGTTGTCATCGTTCTCAGCGATTTGACTTTCCATTCCAACAAGACGGTTGTTCATATTCGACGAAAAATCATTGAAGTCATCTTTGGTGCATTGGCTTTGCTTAATTTCTTTCAACAGTTTGTGCATTTCGTGAAGTGCTGTGTTTGAGGTTATGTTGTCGTGGGTCGATTCAGTGTCCGATTGGAGTAGCCGATATTCCTTGTCCGAGTCGATATCACTATCAGTGTTACTTTGGGCTGCCATTACGTACGATTTTCTTCTTCTTCCTCTCTTTGCATAAGGTTCAGTTCTGCTCTTCGTATTTTGCTTCTTTTCTCCTTTTGGCATGCCTACCGACCGGTTTTGGTTATGTGCACAGTGAAGAATTTTCTTTTGTTTATTTCTCCATTTCTAATCCGAGAATTGACTAAACTCGAATATTTTCCCGTTCAGAAATTGTTTAAATAAATTTAGATTGCGTTTTGACGCCGAAAAAATTAAAAAACCTTTATTTTGAAGAAATTGTTTGATTTAGTACGGAGCTAAAGCAAGTGTGCAGTTTGACAGTTGACAGAATTTATTATTATACGGTTTCTTTGAAATAAATGTACTTTTTCACC